GCAGCAGCAGCAGCAGCAGCAGCAGCAGCAGCAAGGGCGTGTCTGTGTGCTTCTTGTAGCCGTGCGTGGTGTCTTTGCAGCCACTGCAGCAGATCGAGGGGACAGAGCCGCAGCAGCAGCTCAGCTAAATCCTCTCTTATTCTTTTTATTTTCCTGCTGCTGCATGTAACAGCAACACCACCTGCTGCTGCTGCTGCTGCTGCCCACTCAAAGCGAGAACCAACCCCTGACAAACTCGCACGCAGATCAGCTGCTGCTGCTGATCCTGCTGCTGCTGCTGCTGCTGTTGCTGCTGCTGAAGATGCTGTTGAAGCATCGTCCAGCGGCGCGCAGCTGCCTTTGCTGCTGCTGCTGCCTTTGCTGCTGCCTTTGCTGCTGCTGCTGCTGCTGGTGTTTTCGGTGCAAGGTTGCGCTGTGTGTGTGTCTGACGGCTGCTTATCGCTGCACCCTTGCTGCTGCTGCTGCTGCTGCTGCAGCTGCTGCTCTTCTTCTTCCTCCTCCTCTTTCTCCTCCTGCTGCTGCTGCTGCTGCAGCAGCCGTGCTGCTGCAACAACAGCTTTTGCTGCGTCAGTGATCTCCTGCTGCTGCTGCAGATAGAAGTCGAAGCAAAAGTCCAAGGGCCCCTCGCCGTTATTAACAGCCAACGCGCTGCCGCTAAACTGCTGCAGCAGCAGCAGCAGCCAGTCGCTGCTGCTCGTGCTCAGAGAGGTACCCAGCAGCAAAGCAACAGGGGCCGCACCTGGCACCCAAACCTTGCTCCTGCTGCTGCTGCTGCTGTTGCTGCTGCTGTTGCTGCTGCTGCTGTTGCTGCTGCTGGCGCCTCTAGAGGCAGAAGAAGTGGCAGGCCCGTCGCGAACATCACCAACGTAATCAACAGCAGCAGCAGCAGCAGCAGCAGCATCGAGTTCAGCTGCTGCTGCTGCTGCTGCTTTGGGGGATGGCAGCAGCCAGTCCTGGGGGGAGCGACAGAAGCTGCAGATACACCTGGCACCTCCGCTGCACGTGAGGTGCGCAGCAGCACCAGCGCAGCAGCATTTGCTGCTGCTGCTGCTGCTGCTGCAGCTACCGCTGTCGCTACTGCGGCTGCTGCATGTGCAGCAGTCTGTCAGAGCCTCCTGCTGCTGCTGNNTGCTGCTGTTCCTGCTGCTGCTGCTGCTGCAGCATGATGCTGCAGCAAGCCACGCAGCAGCTGAGCCTGGAAGGGCTGCACGCGCTGCTGCTGGTTTTGCTGCAGCAGCAAGTGGCTGGGGTCATAGAGGCCTTGAGCAGCAGCTGCTGCAACAGCAGCAGCAGCAGCAGCACCGCTGCTACCGGAGGCAGCAGCAGCAGCAGCAGCAAGCAGCAAAGCTCTAACAAACCCCTCAGCAGCAAATGCTCGGTGGGGAGAAAAAATAAATTCATCGAAGAGAAGACAAAGAGGGAGACAGACGCTGCCGCAGCACGGACACAGCGGGCACATATTTCCTGCTGCTGCTGCTGCTGCTGCTGCTGCTGTTTCTGCTGCTGCTGCTGCTGGCCCTGAAGCAGCAGCAGCAGCAGCAGCAGCAGCAGCAAAAGGAGAAGGTACAAGACGCACCTCCCCCTTGTTCGCTGCTGCCCACAAAACCTGAGAGTGGTGAAGCGCTGCGTCAAATGCAAAGGGACATACAGCACTCTGCTGCTGCTGCTGCTGCTGCTGCTGCTGCAGTAGCTGCTGCTGCTGCTGCTG